ATTTTAAATATAAATATTAAAAAATTTAATAATTTTAATTATTAGTTAATATGTAATAAATAATTAATATTTATTTACTTAATAGTTTGAAATCAACTTATAAGTTGATAGTTTTGAATACCCTAAAAAAAAACACATGTAATATGTGATGTAATCTTAACTATTGGTTATACGGCCATAACCATCGTGATCAAGTTGAGAATATTTCCATCTTGTTTTGGTTTGAATTGTTTTTGGGGAAGCTTGTGATTCTATGTACTTTAACATTAATTTTTTCAATAATTTTAAAAACATATCTCTTGCAATTGTATGCTGTATTTAAAAAAAAAAAAATCAAATAAGAGAACAAAAATGTGGCTTATAAAGAAACTAGAGAGTTCTAGGGCTGCATTTTGCTTTCCTATTCTTTCTTGAAAATGAAGGAGAAAGAACATTCTCTTTGTAATTCGGTATTTTTTTTAAAAAAAAAATTTCAAAGTAAATTAGTATTTTGATTTAACATGCCATTTTTCGCATACGTACTTGGTATTAATTTTAAATCCTGTTATATGGTTTTAGGTTACAAATTTTAAAAAACTCTTATTACCTACAAGCTTAATTTGTTGTGTAAAGTGGATCTTTAATGTAGGTTTAAACTTGAACTTTAATACCATATAAAAACTAACTATGTAGGTATTATATAAGATTTATATTTAATTTAAAATCGATTAATAATAAATAAAATATTTTTTATATATTTAAATTACACATATTTCTTAGTACATTTTGATATAAGATTTCCTCTCAAACATGTAGGCGCAATTTGAATTTCAGGATTTATCACGCAAACTTAATAAGATATGTTTAAACAATCTACGAATATTAAAGGAAATAAAAATTGCAAAACTTTTAAATCCGCTCCTAAGAAGGATTTGTCAAAAAAAAAAAAAAGAACAAATTGTTATTTTAAATTATCAATTAAAATAAATTATTCATTATTTAATGTGAGATGCTATCAATGCTAGAAATCTATTTGTCATTTAAGCATGATTTTAATGAAAAACTGATGTATGATAATATTGTGTATTAAATAATAAATAATTTTCTTGAATGATGATTTAAAAAAATAATTTATTTCTTTCTTTTAGAAACTAGATCTATTCATATTTTGTTATTTTAGGGGTAAATTTAAGAGTTTCTCCGATAAAAATTAAGAGAAAACGCTTTTGTAGAAAAAGCTACAGAGGATGTTTTCTAATTTGCGGACTACCATTTCACCAAAACAAAAAAAAAAAAAAA